ATCTAAGTTCATGAGAGAGACTGATATTTATTTTTCTGCGTGTGTACACACCATCCCTGTTGGTTTCAGTACAAGGTTAATAGTGGAAAAGTGTTTCGCTGTCCTTTGTTAGCTGAAAGGGATTATGTAAAGTTGGTATTAATTCATATTTAATGTTCAGTAAAACTTTCTAGTGAAACTATCTGAGACTGGAGATTTTGAGCAGCATTTTAATTACAACAAACTTGATTTATTTAATTGTTATAGGACTACTGAGGCTGTCTATTTTATCTTGGCGCGTTTTGTAGTTGTGTGGTTTTCGAGGAATTTGTCCAGATCTTTATGATCATAAAGTTTTGGGGGGTTCTTTGTTGTTGTTATTTTAATAGCTTTGGGATCTATTATGTTGTTTCCATTTCAATTCTGATTTTGTTCATTTCACTGTTTTTAATCTTTCTCAGTTTTGCTAGATTTATCCATTTTATTGTTATTGGTCTTTAAAAAAACAAATTTGTGACAGGGTCTCACTCCATTGCCCAGACTGGAGTGCAGTGGTGTGATCATAGCTCACTGCAGCCTTAAACTCCTAGGCCCAAGTGATCTCGAATAGCTGGGGCTACAGGTGCATGCCACCACACCTGGCTGATTATAGAGATGGGGTCTCACTATGTCGACCAGGCTGCTCTCAAACACCAGGGCTCAAGCGTTCCTCCCACCTTAGCCTCCCAAAGTGCTAAGATTACAGGCATGAGCCCCTGCTCCTGCCCAGCCTGTTGCTATGTTGTAAAGAACCAGTTTTGGGTTTTAATAACTGTCTTGTGTTTTCTGCTTCATTTCTACTTTTCTCTTTATTGTCTCCCACTTTGGGCTTGCTTTGCTCTTCTGTTTCTTGAAGTAGGAATTTAGAGAATTACTGTGACATCTTTTTCCTTTTCTGATACAGGCACTGAATGCTGTCCATTTCCCTCTAAACACTGCCTCCAGTGCATCCATAATTTTATTATGTTATATTCTCGTTTCCATTCTGTTCTATTTCCTTCAAGGCATCCCATTTGACTCGTGGATTATTTACAAGTGTGCTGTTTCATTTCCAGGCACTTACAGTTTTCCTGTGTCTTTCTCTGACTGACCTCTGCTTTTTATGTCCACTGGTGTGACCTTCTCCTGTTTTGAGCATGTCTACATTCTGCGGGCTCAGCTGTCATTTCCCTGCTCCAGCCCTGTAGGTGGCCACCTCCTCGCGTCACCCCAGCGCCATCGTCACAGATGAGCAATATTCATATAACTTCTCAGTCTTTCGAAGCAGCATCGTTTCATCATTTTACTGCATTTCAGCTTTGCTTATTTGAGCCAGGCTTCAGGGCTCCCTTCATTGCACAGGGTTCCATCTCTAGATTCCTCCTCTTGAATTTCCCTGTTCATGGAGTTTCTCTTGGACCCTTAGGAATCCCTCACACTTCCTTCTTTGCCTCTGAGCCCCGCCACATCCTATAGTTAGTGGTTATGTGGAGTGAGGTGCTGTCTCTGCTCTCCCAGGGTCTCGTCAGCCCCGACCAACCCCTCCCTCCCTCCCTCCATGCCTGTTGTCCGTACCTGCCGGGACACCCTGGGGCTCGGGGGTGGTGGGACCAGTGCTTAGTAAGCCCCTCAGCCGCAGGCACTGAGTGAGCACAATACAGATTTGCTCACTTGGTAGAGCTGGGATAGGAGCCAGGCACACAGCCCCCAGCACACCTGCTCTGCTTCCAGAGGGTCAGGTGAGCCTGAGGCCAGGCCAGCCAGAGTCTGGCTGGAGTGTGGTGGCCACAACAGACGCCACGAGTGTCTTCATTAAGGGTGAGTGTCTGAGTCTTCCCCAGGGCATCCGCCAGCCACGCGGCCGCTGTGTGTGTAGACAAGACAGGTGGCAGCTCAGGCGGGCCAGACAGAAGGGAGAGGAAGCCAGTGCGCAGGCAGCCCCATAAATATTTCCAGCCACAGCCAACATGTCTTACTGGCAATTTGCTTTTTAAAAAATTGCGCTCTAATTTTAAGTGAACAGCCCCTAATTACAGTGATTTACGAGGTACCTGGGGACTGTGTGATATTTGAACAGAGCAGAGCGCTGAGCAGAGATGGATGGGCCCGGCGTCACTCATTCAGCAGGGCCTGATAATGCCGGAGCGTTGCCAGACAGAGGAGGCCCCCTGCCAGTGTGGACTGGGTACACTGGGGGAAAGAGAGGCAAAGGTAGGCTGCAGGGCAGGGGGACTTGTCCGCTGAGGCTGCCCTCATGTGGGGTTTGAGCTGAGAGTAGCACTGGTCACTGCTGCCTTCCCCGTCCACCCCCACCCCAACCAGGAGGGCAGCGCTGTATCCTAGAGCTTCATTCTTCCAGAACTGGCTGAGGCCAGCAGAGAGGAGGTGCTGTAGGAGCCATGGGTGGGCACCCAGCCTGCCATTGAGAGCAGGCATCTTGCTGGCGGGGTGTACCTGTTTCAGATAAAGGATGATCAGCACTCACACCTATAATCCTAACCTTGTGGGAAGCTGAGGGGAGAGGTTCGCATCAGGCCAGGAGTTTGAGACCAGCCTGGGCCACATCGCTAGACACTCTCTCTAGAAAAATTTACAAATAAGCCAGGTGTGATGGCGCATGCACTGCTCAGGAGGCTGAGGCAGGAGAATTGCCTGAACCCAGGAGGCGGAGGTTGCAGTGAGCCGAGATCGCACCATTGCACTCCAGCCTGGGTAACAAGAGCGAAATTCCGTCTCAAAAAATTTTTTTTTAGAAAAGCAAGCCCAGGCTCCCAAAGACCTGCCAGCATCTGAGGGCTGGGGGCTGTGGCGGGTGGGGGGTGTGAGTGCCTGGACAACAGCTGTCCTTCCATCCAGCACCACAGTGCCCCTGACCCAGCCGGGTTGCCAGCCCTGGGTTGTGAGGAGGGGTGGAGGGCTGGCCAAGGAGTCTTCTTCCCACACTGCCTCCCAGCCCTGCCTAGCAGCTGCAGGAGAATCACCTGCTCTGACATTTAGGGGGAGAAATTCAGAATCAAGCGCAGAAGGCAGAAATGAAAGGATTTTCTTAGTAAAAGGTCAGAGTGGTTTCTCTTGTTTTTGTTTAAAAATGCTTTGTGTTGAACTATGACAAGGCCAAATGTATTAAGGCAGCGTGGGGTGGGGGGAGGGCGGGGGGGGTGGGGTTGGCTTCCCGAGAAACGGAGGTGGTGCAGGAACAGGCCGGGCAGCACACGATCCACAGGTGCAGGGGACACAGCAGGTGCGACACCATCAGGGCCGGGCCCAGCTCAGGCACACTCCAGCAGACAGGGCAGCTGCCGGGACCAAGCTGGGTGCAGCCGGGCTGCCCTGGGGCTGCTGGGGAGGGTTCCCACTGGGTTGCCGGGTGGAGGGAGCACTTTACTAAACAGTTTCCCGAGCTCTGATGCACACACCATGTGGCCCACCCTCAAGCTTGCGTACAGGTGGGTCTGTTCCTCCCGGCACTTTCAGTGGACAGCCATCACCCCACTCTACCTGTAGGGCCTGCCTCCCAGGACATCCCCTAGGCAGAGTTGTACTGACAGGTCTGTGTGTCTGGCTGGGCATGCTTTCAGGGTTCTCCTGTGTGGCAGCGTGTCTCAGGGTTCCTGCCCCCTCCCTCCTTGGCTGCACGAGGCAGGATTGGTGGGTAAACCCTGTTTTGTCCCTCTCTCCAGCCCTTGTTAGGGATGGGATGATGTTGCCGTGGCTGTCCGTGTCTATGTCTATGTGTGGACATTGCTCAGACCCCCTGACCGGGCACACGGACTCTGCGTTCAGCTCTGAGGAGCCGCCAGCGTTTGGCACGGAGGGTCTGGCCCCCTCATCCCAGCAGCTCACGTTGCCTGTTTGTTCTCAATGGCTGTCAGTGCAAGGCCATCCACGTCTCACTTGGGTGTGGTTCACATTTCCCCCGCTGCCTGGCGTCTTGGCACGAGCTCGTTGGCCGTGTGCAGGTGTTCTCTGGAGAGATGTTCATTCCAGCCCCTTAATTGGGCCCTTCTCTGTTGATGGTTGAATTGTGGACATATTCTGGGTACAGGACTTCCCAGGTACATGGTTTGAGAGGGAGCTTTGTGATGGAGCTGAATTTGTGTCCTGCCTGATCTGGGGCTGTGTAGGACACCTTCCAGCCTTGTGGACAGTTGGGGCCTGGGTGCCCTCCCGGGGCAACTCCCTGACTAGCCAGGTGGGAACAGGTGTGGCAGGTGCCTGGGCAGATTTGGGCATTAGTGAGAAGTCAGTCAGCGCTATCTGGAGACGGGGTGCCCTGGACTGGGAAGTAGGGGGCTCCCATATTTGGGAATGTGTGTGTCCCCTCCCACCTGCAGCCTCCCTGCTGTGGTCCCCAGGTCAGGGGGTTTGGGGGCTGCTGGGGAGGGAGAGAGATGGCCGAGCCCCTGCTGGCTCCGGGCCTCTGTCCCCTGCCCATAGCCCAGGGCCGTGGCGCAGCAGCTTGCTCCAACCTGCCGTGTGACCTGAAGCCTGTGGGCCCTGCCCTGCTGGAACTTGCAGCACTGTCAGGGAGCTCCTGGTCACCAGGCCAGCTCTCTCCTCCTTGCCCATTCTCCAGTTTCAGGAGGAGGCCACAAAGGGACTCCTGTGCTGCAGAATCCACAGACCCATGAGGAGTTGGGAGCCCTAGGCAGTCTGGAAGACACTGCAGGACTTGCCTGGGCATGGGGTCCTCCAGCCCCAGTGTGGCTAGCACTGGGGCCAGCCACAGGCATGGGTGCAGGTGCTGGAAACCCCCAGGCATAGGAGGAAGGGGCAAGGTGGCAGCAGTGCCTGGGAGTCCCAGCTGCCTGTGTAGATGACAGAGACCCTGCCCTGGGTTAATTCAGTCCCTTTAGGTGACCTGGAATAAGGCCTGGCAGGACTGGGGACACATCTATCCCTGTCAGGTCCTCCTGAGCCCCCGTGGCTGGAGGGGCTTTGTAGGGAGGGAGGGGAGAGACCTGCCAGGCTGACTGCTGTCCTGTCTCTTGCCCACCCTGCAGGCCACCGGCCCCTCGGGCTCCAAGATGCAGCTGCTGGAGACGGAGTTCTCTCACACAGTGGGCGAGCTCATCGAGGCGCACCTGCGGCGCCAGGACAGCATCCCCGCCTTTCTCAGCTCCCTCACCCTCGAGCTCTTCAGCCGCCAGACCGTGGCCTAGCCCGGCCTCAGGGGCACAGCCAGAGCCTCTCTGCTTGGCCTGACCTGCAGGTCCCCTGCCCTGCAGCCACAGATGGGTGCAGTCCTGCCTCTCCAGCCCAGCAGGCCAGCAGCAAGACTGACAGACACACTGGGACTTGTCGGACATCCTGCCGGGCGGCCACACCCTCCCCACATGCAAACCCCAACATCCCAGAGCCTGGTAGGCGGGTGTCCACTGCAGCCCTGGCTCCTCGCTTTGTGAAATAAAGTCTTCTCCCCACACACCCCCACTTGCCCTGTGTATCTTTGGCCCAGCCCAGCAAAGTGGGAGGGAGGAGTGCAAGGAGCTCCACCAGCGGCCGCTCGGGCGGGTCAGGCGTCTCTGCTCAGGAGTGCACAGCCAGAACGCAGGTGGCGGCCGGGACCCAGAGTGGCTGGGGTGACCCCACCCCACGGGCTGAGGCCCCTTCGCATGGCAGCTTCCAGCTCTGTCTTGAGGCCAGCCCCGGCTCTGGCCTTTCCTTGGCTGATGGAACCGGGATAGAGGCTCTGGGGCAGCCCTCACAGATAAGGATGTGTTGAGGGGGGACTCTACCCTCTGTGCCCATGGCTCCATGGCCAATGGAGGGCCTGGACCTGGCTGGCAGCACTGAAGCCAGGGGCTTGGGGCTCGGAGGGAGCAGCCAGCGAGTGTGGGGTGGCCCCATCCCACCGGGCAGATGGAGCACCCGGCCCTTGAGGATGGAGATCGAGTCCCTTCCCCAACCACCCCGCCCTGGCTCGGCGGCCCCAGCCTTCTCCAGCCATGGAGAAAATGAGCTGAAAATGCCAGTGCAGGTGCCACTATCTGAACCCAGCAGAGGCGAGCCAAGCAGCCAGGGGAACAGCCTTGCCCCAGAGTCATGCTCCAGATGGAGGGAGACCCATGCTGGGGGCGGGGGCAAGGGAGATAGGACCAGGGACGTGAACCCTAACTCCTGCCTCCACCCAGACTCCTCAAGGGCAGGGCAGCTCCGGCCCTACCACCCTGCCTTGCCCCACTTTCCACTCCCAGCACCCCCACCAGCATTAAACACCCTACCAGGCTCCACAAACCCTTCTTCAGGAAACCCCTTTTCCTCCAGGGCTCAAAGTTGAGGGGCCTATCCTAACTCATGGGGAGAGGCAGGTGTACCCCCAACCTGAAACAAGAAGCCCCTGATTCCTCCTGCGTGTCCTCCCTGAACCCCTTATGTCAGCTTTCAGCGTTGGCTTCCATTCTTGGGCTCTAGGGGTTTGACGGAGGGGTCCTCGGAGGCCTGTGGGGTTCAGCTCCATGAGGCTTTGTACAGGACACAGCCTGGGCAGACGAGAAGTGAGACACCCCCATGTCAGGCGAAGGCTGTTCCGCATACTCAGCCCCTGGACACACGTGTGCCTCAGACACATGGCCCTGCCAGAAGCTGGGCAGCCACTGGCTCTCACACTAAACCCAAGTCCCAGACCGCTCAGCCCCAACACAGCCCTGAGGCTGCCACTGCCCCACGTGTCTGCCGAGCACACCAGGACCCACACAGGAAGCGGCTCCCATGGCCACAGATAATCAGAACGGAGACGCTGGTCTAGCCTTGGGACCATCCTCTGCCAACACCCCCGATGCCAATCCCAGGGTCCTAGAGCCCCAGCCCCCACCACCCCACTTTCCCCATCACCATTCCTGCCAAGCCACAGCCTGAGAGCTGAGGTTGTTCCCATCACCCTTTCACTGCCAGCAGCCCCTGTGACAGCCCCACACGCACTCAGGGCTCCAGCTTCCAGGACCAAGCCCTGCTAAACTGGCCCTTCAGGACCAGGGAGCCAACACCACCCTGGCTGTGAATGCATAGGGGCAGGGGTCGGTTCTTGCTGAGGCAATTTAGGAGACACGGTCCAACTGGGCCCTGAAGGTGGATGGGACCCCAACAGGTGGGAAGTGGGCATGGAGCAGGCCCAGAGGCCAGAGGTCAGGGACTGTTCCAGAGGGCAGAGGGCCCCGAAACCAGAGGGCCCAGCACTCAGGCAGGACAGACACCCGAGGCCTCTGCCCCAGCAGCAAGGGGACCAGTCCCCAGTAGGCAATAGCCAGGTCCAGGGCCAGGCAGGAGCCCCCCCCCCCCGATAAGTGCTGATCTTGATTGCAATGTCAGAGCTAAACTCCAGCCAGCCAAAGTGGGAATGGGATTTATCAGGAGGATTTGGGGTAGAGGCTGAGGAAACAGGATGGTGTGGGGGGAGGCACAGCCTCAGCAGGCACTGGCACTGACTCCCCAGGTGGACACGCACCCCACAGCTCCGGGACCCCTTGACCACTGGCTCTGCCATCACTGATGCATAACCTGGTGGCTAGGGAGCTACAGTCACAGCCTGCACCCACGCCAGAAAATCCGAACCGGGGGTCTCAGCCACAGACCCCCAAGGGCCACGGGACTCCAAGCCCCTGTCCCCAAGCCCTTGTGTCACATTCCCAAGACCTGGGGCTGCTGAACCTTCAGGATGCTGCAGCCTGGACCACTGCCCACGCCCACCTTCCACCCCCAGCCTCTGGCATCGTGATGGGCTTCGAAACTAAAGGGTCACAAGCCCCGCCCCTGCCCTGTTCCCAGGTGCAACCTCACGTCCACATCTGGACCTGGGCTCCTTCCTGCCTTGGTCTCCCCTTCCCCCCTCCACAGCCAGGACTCTCCAAAGCACCTTCCTTTGGGGGAGCCTGGAGCTGGCCCCTCCCCTGCCGGCTCTCCAGGAGGGTCTCCACCAGGCTGGGCCCCCCCAGCCAGCCCTGAGATACACCAGCTCTGGGCGGCTCCACTGATCGTGGCATTTTTCCTTTTCCAGGAAGATGCAGAGGCGGGGCCAGAGCAGCCCTCCCACCCTCAAGGGACATGTCTGGGTGAGCCAGGGAGAGCAGAGGTCCCTGATAACATGTCTCCCTTGCGGGCTGATTTAATAACCCTTCCCCTCGAGTTTCTCAAATCCTCTTCACGCGTCTGCCAGGTGGAATGGGAAAGAAACAGCAACTGAGGATCCCAGGAGGCGCCGCCAGGCCTCGGTCCCTGTCTAGCTCTGGCCACTGGGCCAGAGAAAGTTCTGGTTCTGGCAGATTTCCCGCTTCCCCCAGCTCCTTAGTGGGCACCGACGCTAAATGGTTCTTAAGCTGCTAATGACTAATTTTAAGGGATTAGTGCCGCAGCAATAAACTGTAATTGCCAGGATGTAACAGGATTTGGTGGGCCCCAGGGCTTTTTCCAGCTTCCTGGCAGGCCGGGGAGGACAGTGCCACCTGCCGGGGCCTCCAAGGGACCGACCTCCCTCCCTCCCTCCCAGCTCGGCCACCTCCCACCTCGTCCAGCACAGGGTCCAGCACAGGGCAGACAGCACAGGGCGGCGAGAACAGGGCAGACAGCACAGGGCGGCCAGCACAGGGCAGACAGCACAGGGCCCAGCACAGGGCCCAGCACAGGGCGGCCAGCACAGGGGGGCCAGCACAGGGGGGCCAGCACAGGGCCCAGCACAGGGCGGCCAGCACAGGGGGGCCAGCACAGGGCCCAGCACAGGGCAGACAGCTCAGGGCAGACAGCACAGGGCAGACAGCACAGGGCAGGCAGCACAGGGCCCAGCACAGGGCAGACAGCACAGGGCCCAGCACAGGGCAGACAGCACAGGGCCCAGCACAGGGCAGACAGCACAGGGCCCAGCACAAGGCAGACAGGACAAGGCCCAGCACAGGGCCCAGCACAGGGCAGACAGCACAGGGCCCAGCACAGGGCAGCCAGCACAGGGCGGCCAGCACAGAGCAGATAGCACAGGGCCCAGCACAGGGCAGACAGCACAGGGCCCAGCGCAGGGCAGACAGGACCGGGCCCAGCACAGTGCGGCCAGCACAGGGCCCAGCACAGGGCAGACAGGACAGGGCCCAGCACAGGGCAGACAGCACAGGGCCCAGCACAGGGCAGACAGCACAGGGCCCAGCACAGGGCAGACAGGACAGGGCCCAGCATAGGGCAGACAGGACAGGTCCCAGCACAGGGCAGACAGCACAGGGCCCAGCACAGGGCCCAGCACAGGGCAGACAGGACCGGGCCCAGCACAGGGCGGCCAGCACAGAGCGGCCAGCACAGGGCAGACAGCACAGGGCCCAGCACAGGGCGGACAGCACAGGGCCCAGCGCAGAGCAGACAGCACAGGGCCCAGCACAGGGCAGAAAGCACAGGGCCCAGCACAGGGAGGCCAGCACAGAGCAGACAGCACAGGGCAGACAGCACAGGGCCCAGCACAAACCTGTGCAGGGTTAGTCCGGCTCTCCTTCCTGTACAAGTTCTGGAGGTGAGAAGTCCCTGGGTTTTCTGCAGCTTCTGAAGCCGCTGCAGCCCCTCACTCCTCAGAGTGGGGTCCCTGGAAGCACCTGAGAAAGGCAGGTCCTCAGGTCCCACCTGGAGCGACTGTCAGAATCCACCTTTAACAAGTCTCGGGCAGCTCAAACACGCACACAGGCTCTCATCAGCTTGAAACTTGCCCGTTGACAATGCTCATCCCCATCCCATAATGATCCTGCAAGTCCGGTCTTGTCAGGAGAGGAAACCTTGGTGCAGACAGAGGCCAGCCCACCAACGCTCCATGCCAGTCGTGTTGGGCACAGACTCAAAGGCTGCCCTCCGACTGCAGGTTCAGCTGCCCCTCCAAGCCCCAGCCTGTGAGTCGGACTTGTCCCATTTCCCTCCTGTTAAATAAAACATCTCCAGGGCACAGTGGCGGGCGCCTATAATCCCAGCCACTTGGGAGGCTGAGACAGGAGATTTGCTTGAACTCAGGAGGCAGAGGATGCAGTGAGCCAAGATCATGCCACTGCACTCCAGCCTGGGTGACAGAGTGAGACTCCGTCCAGAAAAAAAAAAGTCTCCAGGACTCGGGGGCAGGCGAGGACTGGAACCTTCATCCAGAGACAGCACTGGAGAGAGACTGAGAGGTCCAGAGCTCAGAACCTAGGGCCATACATACAGGAGTATGTGTGCAGGTGTGTACATGCAGAGGTGTGGGCATACACCACTGCCACACCTACACACACCACCTGTGTGCCCGTGTACATACATGGATGTGCACGTGCATACATCCATGTATGGTTTGTGTGTGCGTATGCACATGTGTGTACATGCAGGACTGGATGCGTTTGGTGTGTTCCATGTGTGCACATGGATGTGCGTGTACCTGTGTGCGTGTATGACTGTCCACATGTGTGTACTGGTGGGTAGGCCATGTGTGCACTGTGT